TGACAAATATCTCACCCTGTCCATGGAGGACAGAAGAAAATGTATATATGCTAGTTAGCATTGTAAATGTGTGGCCACGTCTGTGGTAGAAAAAAAAAGCTCAGCTTGCAGATGAAGATAGGCTCGTTCCAATACTAAGGGACAACGGACCAAAGCAGAATGTCAGTTCATGCTTGTGTCTTGAAACAGAAAGAGAGAATAGTAGGTGACTTTGAAGAGGTACAGGGAAACCCAGGACAGAGGAGAACTAAAATATATGTAACATAGAAAGCGCGAATATGTGAGAATCGGGAGAAAAGCATAAAAACAATATGTAAATGATAGAGCATCCAGGCTACAAAACAACCCAAACCACTCCTATACGGTCCAACCTGTCCTCATACTTACTGCACTGCAATATTGATATTTGTTGAGGTTGAACTCCAAGAGTCTTCTTCTGTCTATCCTCACCTGGAGTTTGTCAAGTACTACTGGCAACACTACAGTCCTCTTCAGTATTTACATTCTTCATTAGTTTTTATGTCGCCTGCAAACATCGACATTCTCCAGCTCACTTCATCGGGTAGCTCAAACATATCAGGAACAGGAATAGTTCAAAGATCAAGCCTTGGGAGACTCCCCTTGTCACGTCCCTCCAGCTTGACACCTCCCGTATGACTGTGACCCTTTGTTTTGAGTCCTTCAGGTTCTCAATTACCCAGTTCAGTATCCTCTCATTTATCCCAGATAATTTTCTTTTCCATCTTCCAGTAGCTTGTAATTAACAGTATCAAATGTTGCTGACAGTCTAGGAAAATGCGGTCCACCTAGACTTTTTTTTATCTGGTTTTATTTTGGCGACTTTCTCATAGAATTCAGTCGTTTGTCACAATTTTCCCACTATGAAAGAGAGTTCCCCTTCCATTATAAAGCTTATCCTCTCGGGTGAAACATAATTTTCTTTCTAAATACATTCTCCAGTTCTTTGCTGGGAATACTTGCCAGGAATACCGTTTTATACTTTATTGCCTCTTGTTTATTCGCTTATTTTAGTATTGGAACTATATTTGGTATTTTCAGGATTTCTGGGAGATCACCTGTCTCGGATATTTTGTTGAAAATCTTAGTTAACGGGTGACAAATTACCCTAGTAGCCTACTTCAGCAATCATAGTGGTACCTGGTCTGGTCCTACTGGGTCAGCAGCCATGGGGATACTGAGTTTAGTCCTATTTCATCAGCAACCATGGTACTGAATAGTCTGGACCTACTGTATCAACACCAGTAGTAGTATGGGTGTTGACATCTACAACATAGTAGTATGGGTATATACAACTAGTCTGGCTGCGTTGTAACAAGTAAAGCAGCTGTCTTACCAGCTCGTATTGTTGGTTCATGCAAAGACAATAACAATAATGAGGATGTAGAAAATGGAAGGTGTAGAGATCTTGCGTTTGAAGATATGTGAGAACGTGAGTGTTGGTAATACTCCCTCCCTGCTCGAGGCAAAATATATTTGTATCTGTAAAGCTATTTTTTTCATCTTGGTTTGCGAAATTTAACACATGATATGCGTTTATTCATTGAGCACGGATTCACTTTTTAGACTGCTGTCAAAACGATTCGGCTGAGTGACTTGAAAGTTGGTCGATAGTGCTTATACACGAGAAGCGAATTTTGCCTGAGCTCACGTCTTACCTTAAAATGAATAGACAATTTTTACCATTCCACAATCATTAATTTCTTCGTTAAATCGATTTGCCAGAGTTGCACGTTCATTCCCTCTTTCAGGTCTGCTGGCAATTCGTCTCAACTGTTCTTCATCAATATTACCCTCCTTAAACTATTTTTTTTTACTTCTTAGCGTTAATCGATCATATAGTTTTAAATACAAAACGCTAAAGGTGTGTATATGAGAGACTACTTGTCCATGGTACCATGGGTACATACAAAAAATGCTACAAAACCCGTTTTATGTTTTTATAAATCTCAAAATAAAAATCTTCCAGCTACTCCCACTCGACTGTTTCCAATCTATTTACCGTAACGAAGTAACCGAGATCTTATATGTAAAGGCATGCCTATAACACTTGTCATTTAATCTGTTCTCAACACCACTATGGAAATGTTTCTCACCTGGCTCGATCTGTATCCTTCGGGAGAGGTTAACGCCGCTGAACTTGTATTTGACTACATATGTTGTGAACCCAACGACCATTTGTTTTAATGACGGACTGAAACCTGGCATCACACTACTCATGACTTTCACTGTGTTCCCGCAGCACGAGCGACAACTGAACGCGTGTCCAAGCAGCAGCTAGACACCGTGTCCAAGCAGCAGCTAGACACCGTGTCCAACCAGCAGCTAGACACCGTGTCCAAGCAGCAGCTAGACACCGTGTCCAAGCAGCAGCTAGACACCGTGTCCAAGCAGCAGCTAGACACCGTGTCCAAGCAGCAGCTAGACACCGTGTCCAAGCAGCAGCTAGACACTGTGTCCAAGCAGCAGTTAGACACCATGTCCAAGCAGCAACTAGACACCGTGTCCAAGCAGCAGCTTGATATCGTGTCCAAGCAGCAGCTAGACACCGTGTCCAAGCAGCAGCTAGACACCGTGTCCAAGCAGCAGCTAGACACCGTGTCCAAGCAGCAGCTAGACACCGTGTCCAAGCAGCAGCTAGACACCGTGTCCTAGCAGCAGCTAGACACCGTGTCCTAGCAGCAGCTAGACACCGTGTCCAAGCAGCAGCTAGACACCGTGTCCAAGCAGCAGCTAGACACCGTGTCCAAGCAGCAACTAGACACCAGCAACTAGACACTGTGTTCAAGCAGTAGCTTGATATCGCATTCAAGCAACAGGAGCAGAAACTTGAGACCACGTTCAAGCGGGAACTTTGTACCTGTTCAACCATCAGGAATGGCGACTTTCTGGTTTTAATGATAAAAACTGACATCATAAAGTTTATTTTAGTTCCTATTAGAAGTTATTCCTGCTAAACGTTTTTATATACGTGAAAACAAAGAATTTGTATGTATTATGTGTACAATACATGCACAATATTATATTAACAATACAATTTCTTCTCAGGTTGATTGACTCCTTGCACACAGAATATAAAACTTTCAGAAGATATAAATACGTAAGGAATTTTGTCTGTAGTCTACTAGAGCGTTACTTACTCTCTCACTCTCACTCTCTCTCTCTCTAGGTCACATAACCACCAGGAATTGGGGATAAAACCATACTTTTAAGGAGAAAGGAGGCAAAGAAAAATGAGAGGAGGATTAAATAGTGAACAAATGTTCTTCCTCTCATCAAAAACACAGAACAACATTTAAACTGTTTAAATAGATGCTACATTGTATTGACGTGCTATATTGAAACTTATATGGGGAGGTCTAATTTGTACATGTCAGAGCTACCATTAAAGCTATTTGTTACATTGTTTGATCAGGGCTGACTCAAGCAAATTTCATTCAATGAAACCCTTACTTTTAGCAATGCATTTGGCCCCTCTGAAGTTGATAGAATGTTCACATAAGCTGGAATGCAAATACAATGCACTAGAATGCAGGGCTGTACGAATAGCATAAGTGTTGTTTTAAATATATAATATATATATTCTTTGTACAGTAGTCAAAATTTTGTATGTCCATCTGCAGTACTGTACCTGCAAGTACTGTACTATCATTTACTCAACTTAATTCCCAAGCTGTCTAGTCTATATTTCTATAAAGGCAAGCCACAGGAAGATGACTTATTGAATACTTTAATTTTTGGTAGCATCATCTGCTAGTTTATTTATCACATTTGGGACTTGGTACACAGAAATGTATTGACCTATATTTACTATATAATGTATACAATCATTGTTGTCAGCATTCCTTATTGCAAGTATTACATAACCCTGTCATGAAGATGCTAGCTTTGTTTATGTCTTTGGTTCATAAGTGGACAATGGTTGCTAATCTGATCCCTTCATGAGATTAGCATCCTCCAAAGACAGTGCTTTGCCAGTTGTTGGAATAGCCATTTAATGAAAGAGTTTAGGAAATAAAATACAAAAAACAAAACTAAGATAAATTTTCTGCTACAATACTATACTTCTATACAGTACTGTTTAAGTTTATGCCATCATAATTTATTTTTCAGTCAAATAATAATTTGCTTTACACAAAGACAATAATGCAAAATCAAAATGTTATAATCACAAAATAAAATCTTCTCAATTGTCATTTAAAAAAAAAAAAAATTATGTTTTTAACACTTTAGTGTTAACACCTGTAAAATATAATTCATAATAATTCATTGTGTCGAGGGACAGAAAGCCAGAGTGTATTCATACACAGCAGACTTATATCGAGGTCCGCCCCCCCCAGGCCGAATTACTGGCCCCGCCCAGGATGCATTCACCTTTCATTAGGCGAGAGGAAACGTGCCCAAACATTTCTGTCTTGCTTGGGATTCAAACCCGTAATTCTCGATTGTGAGTCGAGAACGAACCCGACGGTACTGTATTACCGGGAATATGTCTGATTATATAAGACATGAGTTAAGAGGATACATATATAAATATGTACTGTACTATTTCAACATGGAAAAAAAAATTGTATATGGGTATATACAAGCAGTGGTGCATAAAATATGAACAATATTTTAAATTTATCTCTTTTTAGGTTTTTAAAAGATGACTAAAAGAGAGAAATTGTGTGGTGTAAAGCATGTGAGTAAATATGTCAGTAATGCTGACCAAGATCTATGTTTCAACTGTACTTATGTACTCTTCCTCAGTTATGAAATTCAATTCATGAACTTTGCATACAGTGAAGATCACCATCAAGCTCAATCTTGAAATACTGACCTATTAAGCAATAACCCTCAAAAATAAAAGAATAGACACCAAGATGTCTTAGATTCTTGGTGCTGTGTATAGCAGTGTGTAAGACTGTTCTATGGAATCCATATAATCTACATCTACATCTGAATTATCTGTAACTACCACTGGATATTAAGAAAAGCTCTCTCTCATGATAATTTTATTGCACATAAAACAATTTTTGCTACTGCAAACTCGTCATATGCATACAAGTGTCATGAGTAATATAAATTATAATACTTTGTAGTGACTATTTAAATTATGTAAATGATATAGTAAATATAAATAAAATATTTATTTGACCAGATTTTTGTATCAATATAATTTTTGTAATTTGTGCAGCATAACAATATAACAAAAATATTTATAATATACAATATTTATATATTAAAATACACATGTATATTTGCAAAGTAACAATGAGAAGTATTTAAAATGTTTCAAAACAAAATAAACAAATTTTGTATTTTATTTACGAACAGGTTTAATTGCTAATTCTCCACTCATGTTGGTTATGTACCAAAATACAGTGGTGCATTTTGCAACTCATTTATATAAATTTATGTGTAATGAGTGAGAGTTTCTTTGCTTTTATTCGAACCATTGAATTCACATTTTTATTTTCCTGAAGACTTTGCAAAGTTTTTCCTAAAACAGAGTTTATTAAATTTGGGGGAAATATATCATAATGAATACCAAATTCCACAAGCAGAAGAAGGATAAGCAATCTTGTAGTTGCAAAGCTTATTGTATTTGCTGGTAATACAGCATTATTAGTCAGAGTTTCAGTAGAAGAAAAGCTCATCTCCAGCTTATTCTCACTAATATTAATCTGGGACCTGTCAGAGTTATTTTCAGAACAACCTCCAGTATCTTGAGAACCTTCAACTTGGTAAGCACTATCACACAGAAATTCAATTTTCCCACAAATTTTTCCTAACAACAAAGCAAGATCAAAAGCTGTACATTTTTGACAAAGCTCCACAAGTCTGTCATGATCTACAGGCCATGATATTTTGTTATCAAATACATTTTCGAGAAATTCTTCCTCAATTGCTCCTGGTGTTTGCTCTTCACCTTGCTGGTGGTCAACTAATCCAAGAGAAAGGTCAATTTCAGAATTTAGTGGAGAAGCTTCTTGGGTTTCTTCATCGCTTTCCCACCCACCTCCAGCTCGACCTGTTCTGTGTGCTGAGATAAAACAAGAAGTTGCTAGTGGCGGGTTCTGTGCTGTGCCTAGCTCTTCCAAATCATTCTTTTGGAATTCATATGTAATGCAATCTCATTAATTAAAATGATTAGCGCCAAGTAATCTGTAGATCAAAATTTGTTTTCGGTTTATAGATATCTCTATCCTGGTAGAGTACCAAGATACCATTTACTGTATTCTTTTATTTACTCAATAATTGTTTTTATCAAACTGATTGAAATAAAATAGTTATATAATATATAAATATACATAAATGTTAAACATTATTTATATTTCCTTACCAAAGAGAGAGAATTTGAGTATGGGTGGAAAGAATGACATCTGAATCACAAAGGATCTTGTATGCACTGACAAATGTCAGATTTCTCCATACCTTAAAATTGATTGGTAAATAATAACAATTGATAAATAATTCCATTACAACACAACAGTGAGGGCATCAGCACTGGCTAACACAAAATATTCATTCTGAGAAGACTATGTAGTGTAGTGGGTTGACTGAATGTCAAAATAGGGATTAAAAGACTACAAGAAACATGAGAAACTAATTAGTGATGGATATGGTGGGCTCTGTATGAAAAGAAGTTGCAGATCAGAGGCAAGATTCACGAAGCAGTTATGCAAGTACTTACGAATGTGTACATCTTTCCTCAATCTTTGGCGGCTTTGGTTACATTTATTAAACAGTTTACAAGCATGAAAATTTGCCAGTCAACTGTTGTTATTGTTATACACAGCCTCCTGGTGCTTCGGAGCTCATTAACTGCTTAATAATTGTAAATAAAGTTTCCAAAGATTGAGAAAAGATGTACAGGTTCATAAGTGCTTGTGTAACTGCTTCGTGAATCTGGCCCCAGAATGTTGATCAGATACTTACAGTGAGACAGCTAATGGAGAAGGTATCCAAGAAAGATTGTAAGCTGTACAATGGCATCTATGAATTTGGCAAAAGCCATTGATGAAGTTAATAGAGAAGAACTTTTAAGAGTGTGATGAGCATGTATGGAGTTAGTTGAATTCTGTTAAATGCTCTGAAGTTTTTATGTAAAGAAGTAAAGTATGTATGTAAAGTTAATGGTGTAATATGTGTGACCAATTTCATATTAACGGAAGTATATTTCTAATATTGTGTGTTGGTCTTGTGTATTTTTCAAAATATTCTGGTTATATATGGACGGAGTCATAAAGGAGGTTAAGGTAAGATTATCAGAGAAGGGCGTAAATTTAATGCACGACAGAAGTGGTGAACAATGTCAAATTACTTTTGTCATACTGGTACTTAATCAGTGCTTGACATAACTTACTGGTACACTGTACTTAAGCTTGACATAGTAGGTTCATACCCTTCTCTTATATTCTTATACTGTACTAATCTCCATTCCATACTGTATACTGTACTGATCTCCTTCATGACCCCATCAATATAAGTCTTATGTAGATTCAACCCATTCTCCTGAATAGTACATCACATTTTGATATATAATTTCCATAAAGCCAAAAACTGATGTAGTACTAAAAATGGTAGCAGCTTGCAAAATTTAAACAATGTCCCATTTTCTGTTCTTGGGTCCATGGATAGGTTAAGTTCAAGCAATTTAGTACAGTACAACAGTTTAGTGATGTTGGGAACGCTCGGGAGAATAGGCTGGTAGATTAGCTGAAAATTTTACCATACATATGATGAATTTGCAAAATATGATGGGACACTGCAGGTGGTCACATTGCCCTGACTGGGGACCTAGCCCATAAAAATAATCAAACATACCACAATTGTGTATTAGCAAAATGGCCAGATGTACCTTTATATTTTGAAGAGTGAGAAGTGGATAGCACTGGTATATGAGGTAAGACTGGCCGTGATGGACATGGCACTGATGAGCCAAGAGATGGTAGGGAGAGTGGTTGATAGTCCCCCTTTTCACCCTGAAGAAAGTCCATTCCTAATCTCTTGGTATCCCCAGAGGGGGACATCACACGTTCCACAATTCCACGTACCTTAAGAAAACAATTAAACTGCAACCTCCAAAATCCAGATCAAATTATTCCAAACACACTCTGGATATCTGATTAATCTGGATCTCCAAACAATTTAAATGTTTTGACTATTTATCACCAAATTTTCCAGTACAATTTAAAATGAAACAGAATTTTGTTTTAAATATTGTCAATGACTTTCACACAGCACCAACTATTTTTTCTAGCATTCTTTGGCTATGAAAATCATTAAACTAGCAATTAACACCATATTAAAGGAGTTATCCTTCACACTCTAAATTTCTACACTTGATGGGGAAATTTTAGAGGAAAATTTGAATTTCAACTTATGATGTAAGGGACATCTTTCAGGAAAACCTGACTGAATACAGTACAATATTTGTGTGTAAATTTTCAACAAAAAATGATTTTTATTCTCAAATATCTGAAATATCTTCAGATAATTTGAACAAAAATTTTACAAATCCAGATTATCCAAGCAATGTCCCGGATATCTGAAATTTCCTCTTGATATTTGGGACAACATTTTTATCCAGATCAGTTTTCCTTAAATTTAACTGGACATTTAGATCATAGGGGTTTCAGATAACTGGAACCTGACCATTGCCTCTATCCTGCAAAAATGCAAATCACCAGTGCTTGAGCAACAACATAGTGCTAACTGAATCACTACTGTACTGTACATTGATATACTGAATAAACATCTTTTCTTTAAGCATTCTGAAACTAAATACAAAAAATAATACAAACCTGATTTACCAAATTTTCACCTTGATTTACTGGTGAGCTACCAAAGCCTTCATACTTGCCCTTCGCAGCTTGTGCCCCATACCCCTGGACACAAGATGACTGCTGATTGCCGCTTGCACTTCCCTCGCTATTGTCTTTTCCTGCAAGATTATGATGATGGTAGGTATTCCTTAGCAGATAAATTTGCTTCTATTTATTTAAACCATAACTATGTATGAGAAAGTGGCAGTGAATGCTAGAGGAAAATCTAATCACTTAATCAGTACAACTTTATGGTTACAGTGTTATAAACAAAAATAACTAGAATGATAAAATAATATAAATGCAAAATTCATATACCTGTACATGAATTATAAAAGCTAGTACTGTAATATGAATACCTGTACAAGTGTTCTATCATGGCCTACAATATAGTTCATTAATATATAATTCTGAATATAGTTTGGATTAAATAGAAATTTAGGAATTAAGGCCACGGCTTCCCTTCTCACTGGAAGCATGCAGCCACTACATCCCTTCTATATGAAAGTCTGCAGCCACTGTTTCCATTCTCAGTGGAAGCCCGTGGCCATTGCTTCCCATCTCGGTGGAAGTCTGTAGCCAATGTTTCACTTCCATGACATCCTTGCGTTCAGAATCCCCTTTTTTTCCTTATACCATCTATGATCTTGAACCACATTGTCACCGGGAATATTCATCCACTATGATTACTAAAAGAACTCAAGTTCATTTAAAAATCCTGTGGCATTTACCTGCCATCCATATTTCGTCATCTTTCATAACTCGAGAATCAAACAGCAATGCCAGCAATTCCTGTAAGGTGCACATATGTCAAACAAATGCACATAGTGTAAGAATGAAGCATCTGAGTCAAATACTAACCATTAATCTTTGACTGCAAATATAAGCATTGGATAATTGTAAAAATTCTGAATACAGATATGGGTCTGGTGATAAAGAACATATCACATGCCTGTATAGCTGAGCTAAGAAAGAGCTGCGGTGTGTTTGCCAGTACAGGGTCTGGTGGCCCGCCTGATGCTGCTGCTCGTCGAAGTTCTCCATCCTTACCCCGGAGGTAGACTCGAACTCCTTGATGACCACGAGAACAAGTGTGCTGTAATATGCGTATTACCTGAAGAAAATAATTATTTTTATGTATGCTGTATATAGGCATACAGTTAATATTAAATCAGTTTAAAAGTAATATTAAGTACTGTATTTTAATCAAGGCAAGTATCAAAATGCTAGAATCATCTCCGAGACACCATTCCCTCGTCTTTGAATTACATAATGCCTAGCTTCACTGCAGCAGATAAAATGAATGTAAGTACAGTACAGTACTTTGTAAATAATCTCTCTGTAAAGCCCAACTCGAATAATTCTACTCTCTGTAAAGCCCAACTCAGATAATTCTAAGTGCACAGTATACAGTATTAGGTTAAGTATTACCAGGTCTTCAGGTCCCGGAGGTACAGTTTGGTTCGTTCTCTACTCACAATCGAGAATTCTGGGTTCGAATGCCGGATGGGACAGAAATGGTTCGGCACATTTTCTATCACCTAATGTGTCTGCTCACTTAACAGCAAGTAGGTACTCAGGAGTTAGTCAGTTTGTTGTGGGGTTGCATTCTGGGGGGTCAGTAATTCAACCTTGGGGGAGGGGACCACCTCGATATAAGCCTAACGTGTATGAACACATTCTGGCTGCCTGTCCCCTGACACAATGAATTATTGTTATTAATTAAATTATTAGTCAATTATGTTTCTCAGGGGGTAATATTAATAATATTTCATAAGAATATTTCCAAATCTATGGACCTTATGAAAAGTGAAAATTGGATATGGACTTTATGGTAAAATAAGGACAAAATCTATGGAAATTGCAACTGAATTACTGTACTGTATCTTCATACTGTACCAATCCACAAAAAATTATACATATTAAAACAAATTTAAGAATGCTAAAGCAATTTCAGAAACAAAAGTTAATTTAATAAACACAAATATAAGACCACAGGTTATGATAAATACATTTTAGATACTGTACTGTATATTGATGAATGTACTGTACCATTTTGAAAAGTGAACTTGCATGCAACATGACATCAAAAGACATAGTAAGATAATACAAAGTTTAATACAGGTTTAAATTCTACAGAAAGCTACAAGTATAAATAAAATAATCTAGATTGTATACCAGATGAATAATCAAGAACTAATTGCAGATTTGTTGAAATCCATTCACTTTTAAAAAATAAAAGAAAGAGCAAACCTTTTGCTTTCCAGGCCATGTTGAGCTTTGGAGACGAGACAGGAGAAAGTCGACTAGGTGCTGACGGTGTCCAGAAGAATGGTGACTCAATTCAAAACCATGTTAAAGAAGAACTGAAGTAAAACATTTTGTACCACAAAAACCTATCATCGCACCTGGACAAGCAACAGGATTCATTGACAGAATAAATATATTACTGTATCATTCTAATATTTGTACATATACCACTTAAAAGATTTAGGCTTTAGGGCAAGTACTAACAATGATTTGGTTATTCAGTGCACTATTTGCCATAGAACATGATCTTCTGATAATTTCACATCTCAGTGCTTAATCAGTGTTAGGTGCATAGGCAAGTATCCCATCCCTCCAGTCAACATGACCTTCCCAATCCCTACTCACATCTGGATCTCTGCACTAGCTGTGTAAACAGAGAGCACCTGGTGACCACTTCCCTGGCTCCAATCTCACCAGCACACTTCAATCAGTAAGGACTCTAAACATAAATTAAAATGTATTCATGAGCTGAGGAAATAGACCACTGTACTCTTCTAAACTCAAAACCTTACATATAACATTCAAAAGGATACTGATGATCTCTTCAAAGATGTATCCTGGTATTGGTGTGTCATTGTCTGTTGTTGCTTTATTCAGAAGTGGATACTGAAAAAATAGTAAATAAATTAATATATATGGAATATAAACAAATAGTTAAATACATGTTTTTGGTTATGAACAAATTGTTTAAAACTGTGAACAAATAACAATAAAAAGTTAAGGATTAAGAAAAAAAACATTTCAGAATAATTATAAACAAAAGATACAATGTTAAAAAATTGGTACAAAGAGTACAGGGAATATAATGACTACATGGGAAAAAAACTCTCAGGGAAAAGTGCCAAATCATTTTTGGTGCCCTTGATAGGTCTCGGTAATGTGCATTTCAACTACAATATTATTCCAGTAACACCTGTACAAAGTAAAAACCGCAAAAAAATCAGATATACCTCTCCCCGCCCGAAGGTAAAACCGAAAAACTTAAAAGTCTTCTATTAACTTCCCTTTCATACTAAGGTACAAATGCGTTTCTCATGAGAAAGGTAAGGAAAGGTAATTATCAATTATGCGCCACAGCAATCTGAGAAGGCTTAGTTGATGAAGGAAGCCTTTCAGCAATATCACGACCTGACAACCGCAAACCTCCAGTTACAGCCCCGCTCCTATGCCAGGTAAGTCCACTACGGGCTCACCATAGCCCGTGCTACTTGGAACTTTTAATTCCCAGTAGCTGAATCTATAACAACAACAACGCAAACCTCAACACTTCTTTAACAACCAGCAGTGGGTGTACGAACCACACATGAACCCAGCTGCGAGAGTGGACGAGGACTCACATAGGTGGCGAAGTCGACGACGCTGCGGGCCTCCCTCAGGAGCTCCATGTTTGTTTACCTCGCGATTTTAACGGGCACAATAACCTCCTACTTTATTATCAAGCTAAACCTTTATATAAACCTTATCTATAAGCAGAGAAAAAAGTTCATGTAATTTTTTGCTTTTAGTTTTTTATTAAGAAGCGCGTATGAGCATGGAGAAGCATAAGGGCAGAGAAAGCTGAACTCCTGGTGAGAATAACGCCGGAGTTCTGTTTCCATCGCGGCTTCTAACTTCGCCTCAACGACCCGAAAATACAAAAAAAAATCGAGTTATCGTGCTGTAGATATTTCCCGAAGCGAGTAATACATTACTTCAACTTCAGCACACTCCCCAAACATTGCCTGCTCCCCGGATAACGCTTCAGTGCATTATAGAGAGGAGAAAAATCGAGTGGTGAAGTCTTGAGGAGGGAGCTCCATGCCGCAGAGGCCCCCCAAGCTCGGCCGCCTCGCTGCCAAGATCACTCGGGTATTGCAGGTGTAAAGGCGGTGCAGGTGTTGCACGTGTTGCCATGGAGGCTGGAGGAGGTCGGGGACGCGGCCGGGGGCGAGGCGTGGCGGCGGGCGAGGACCATGAAAGGGGAGACTTGCGGCGGCCGCATGCACCTCCTGAAGGGCCGCCGCCGCCGCAGCCACCGCAGCAACAGCTTGGGGCTCACACGCCACTCCAGACACAGAGCATCACCGCTGTGGCAGGTGAGACACGCATTCTGTGGCCTCACCTTCATTCTCTTTTTGATAACTTTCATTATGTGGCCTCACCTTCATTCTATGGCTTCACTTTCATTCTGTGGCTTCACCTTCATTATGTGGCTTCACCTTCATTATGTGGCTTCACCTTCATTATGTGGCTTCACCTTCATACTAAAGCTGTACCTTTCACTATGTTCTCACTTCCTCCTTGGGAGAGCTTTGGTTTCTTGGACACGCCCCACAGTTATTATTTGCTTATTTCATGGAAAAAAAATCTTGATTCTTTCCCACAGTTATTATTTGCTTATTTAATAGAAAAGATTTCTGATTCTTTGGACACGCCCCACAATTATTATTCCCTTATTTCATAGAAAAGAATCTTGATTCCTTGGACACACCTCAAGAAGTGGAGTTAAGTCTGAGTGGGAAACCCATCGCTTTACCATAAAATATAAATAGTATAAACACAGGATTGAACATTAACATTTACATATTTGCAGATCCTAAAATATTTTTACCCTATATTTGTAAGACACTATGTTGCCACAAGATGATTTAGTGGCTTTAAAAATTGAGTGACGATTGGCAGATACAGTTTAATGCTGACAAGTGTAGGGTTCTGACTTTGGAGTCTAGATTATATTTACCAGATAGGACATGTTGGAATTGCTAAATCTAAATGTGAAAAATATCTGGGGGGGGGTTCATGATTAGTAGTGGTCTTAAGCCAAAAAATCCATGAACAAATATTAAAAATAAGGTTGATACCTGCTTGATACCTGCTTGATGGGGTTCTGGGAGTTCTTCTACTCCCCAAGCCCGGCCTAAGGCCAGGCTCGGCCCACAGACCCACATACCCACCACAGCCCGGCTGATCCGGAACTTCTCTTGGAAAACAGTCCAGTTTTCTCTTGAAGATGTCCACGGTTGTTCGGTAGTATACATTTATTAATATCTAAAAGCCTTAGCAATAAGACATTGTTATTCTCTTTCGTGGTCTTATTTGGTCCCATTTAGATCATACAGATCAGTTTTGGTTGCCATACTAAAGAATGGACTTCACTTGAATGTGTATACAAGGATGATAAATGTATGCCGCACAGGGCTGGTGCGGCATACACGGTAATCAAGGATAATACTTTCCAACGCAGAAATGAAGAAAAAGCACGTATTGAGAACTATGCCTCTTCAACGCAAGCAGAGCTAACTGCCATTGTTATGGCGTTAAGGTTTCTTGAACGGAACACTAATGGTGCAGTGATTTGCACCGATTCAAAAGCAGCACTGCGAAGCCTAAGTAAAAATCAGGCAGAAAATCTTGCAATAGTCGCTGAAATTAAGAGAGCTGTGAGAGTACTTACCAATCAGGGAAGAGTCATCAAGTTTCTGTGGATCCCCTCCCATGTTGGAATATGTGGGAATGAACGAGCAGATGTGCTGGCTGCTGAAGGCGCTGAAGGAGACCATATTGAATACTTCATACCCAAGACTCAACTACAAATTAGAGGTATTATCAGGCAACATCACCGTGACAAGATAACTGAGGAAAGGAGGATAGAAGCACAAACCAGTGAATCTGTACGATGGTACAACATGGTTGCAGCTGGCAATCCCAATCATTATGGCCGAAGAGGAGGACGACGAGGGAGAGAATCAGTAATAGCGAGAATCCGTCTTGAATACAAATATCCATGGAGATTTGGAATGGAAACAACAGTTGATCAGCGAAGTTGCAGAATCTGTGGTGAGAGTGATGGACACCGCCTTGACCACTATCTACGTGAATGTGAACACCTGAGAGACATTAGGAATATGTGTAGAATAATAAACCCCACATTGTTTGAGTTAGGAAAACACTATTTGTCAAATATTGATACTGTTCTTAAAAGATTTCCCCATTTTGCACCCGCAAGATAACGTAAGCTTTTAAGGGTTGATAAATGTTAATCTTCTTGTTTGAGGAGCTGTTCACTTGAGACAGTTAAGCAAGTCCCAGCTGTGTCTGGGTACAAGTGACAGGATGAACAACCCAGCGGGTTTTCTTCCTATTGGGGAGTGTTACAACCGTGGACATCTTCAAGAGAAAACTGGACGGTTTTCTAAGAGAAGTTCCGGATCAGCCGGGCTGTGGTGGGTACGTGGCCCTGCGGGCCGCTCCAAGCAACAGCCTGGTGGACCAAACTCTCACAAGTCGAGCCTGGCCTCGGGCCGGGCTTGGGGAGTAGAAGAACTCCCAGAACCCCATCAACCAGGTATCAACCAGGTGTACATTCTGCTATGGCGGTATGTTCACTCACAAGATGAGTGGCGCTGCCCAATAAACTCGCCCCTCGGGGCAAAATTTAAAAAAAATTTATGGATGATAAAGTTAATCCCCAGAATTAGAAAAGATGTAAGAGGAATTAATGAAGTGCTAAATGTATGAACACAAAAGATAGAATGTGAAACAATGGAGCTAAATTGAATTAGCTTAGATTAATAAAAAAAAAACTGGGTAAATACTGGTTTGAAAGCAGGGATGTAGATTTATGGAACAGTTTATCAGGTAACATAATAAATGTGCAGTTGTTGAATTGAACATAGATTCTGATGAAACCATTGAAGGAATGAAAGACCAAAGTGAAGGTGAGGCCAAAAAGTTGAACATAAGAGTATAGGAAATTGTAGTAAGCTTATTTACCCATATGATTCAGCTCCTATTTATACCCAACCAAACTCATACTGTATACAATACAATATAATACAATACGAGTTTAATCTAATCTTGAAACATTACAATGATTTCACATCTGCTGTTACGTTACCTGGTGATTTGTTCAGTAAGTCAACAGCTCTATTTTTAAACCATTATTTAACCAGGCCTTTTCTAAATCTAAGCTTTTCCAATTTGTATTCATTTTTCATGTTCTTTGTATATTTTGTTTATATATTTTACCTTATTGATGTTCCCCTTTGTTATACTTTTCATTCATTTGGCAATTACTGTATATTTAAAAAATGTCCTATTACCCTTTACATTTGTAAGAATGTAAATTAGGCACCTAAACATTTGCTCTATATTGGAGGTTTATATTACCTGGGATTAACATTATCATCATTCTTTGTACACATCCAGGGAAATTTATTTTCATTTTGTGGTATGGTCATCAAACTGAACAATTTTTAACTGAACTTCATTATCAGTATAGCCAAACAAGGGCAGATAAAGTTAAAGTATAACATTTAACTCTTATGAAAAATGTTTCTAGGTATGAATTTCAATATCCAGTATACCTTGTTTAGAATATTGATATAGTACTGTACTGTAAATTTATTTTTGGGTGGTTAAGGATCAACAAATCCTGACTCCCAGACCTTTTCCACATTTAGGCTTGGTAATTTCATTGTCAGCTGATATTTAGTAACTATTATCATTACTTTATAATGTGGCTTTTAAAATTGTCATCATTCATCATTGCTATCATTCTGAGCCTACTCAGAATTATACATTTGTCAACATTAAACTGCATCTGCCAAACTTTTTGTTCATTTCAGTGAGCTATCTAAATTGTATTCTAGTGATTGTTGAGTCTTCTGAATTGTATTTATGTTCATTTCCAAATTTGAAATTGTTTTTGTTCAGTCATGTCTAAATCATTTATAATGCATAGTTTAGCAACAGAGCTCCATCTGTGGCCCCACCTAGCACTCTGTGATCTCGCCTTGCACTTTGTGGCCTCAGATTTTTTGTGATTGCTTCAATGCATCTAACAAAAATTTAATAGTATAACATCCCAAGTGTCTATTTAAAGAGGACAGCGGAGCTAGAAAAGTGTCATTCTCTCACTGACCAGTACTGTACTGTATTTTTATAAATGTGCATCAGTAATATTTATAATATTATCAAGGTGTTTTCTTGCAGAATCTCAAGAAGCAAAAGCCAAGAAAACATTCTTACTCTCGGCTGATGCCCCAGAATTTGTTCCACGAACATTTGTTCAGCCCCCTGCTCAGCATCAAATCCAGATCCCAAATCCAGCACAGAACATGCACCACCATCATCAGGTAATAATTATCTTAAATTTAAACACAAACTTTGTGTGTAGATGAAATGCTTCTCTCTAAGAAGGAAAGCTGTTTCTCCCTTTGGCTGTATCCTACTCTCATGAATAAGTAACCAAATAATGGCAGACCAGTGGCTTTTACATATTAATCCCTGCCCTTTTATGTAGTTTTGTGGTTGGGTTGAGTTTTCCTGGTTCTTTTTTGTGCCTGTGTTCGGTTTTCCCTCCAGGTAAGGAAGTTCGGCTCGTTGGCAGTCGAGTAAAAAAAAAAAAAGTCCTAGGTGGATCATATTGGACTTAGCAGTGAAATCATCCAGCGAGTCATGCTCAGGAAGGAGTGTTTCATCATAGTAATTAATATTTACATTATTTTCTTCTAGGTGACAAGTCCAGTAGTTCCCCAGCCACAATTTCACTACACATGCCACCCAGTTGTTCTACAAGTAAACAACTTGGTTGTACAGCTCACTATAAAACCTAACAGGTGAGTATTATTATTCCTCATAATGAAATCACAAGAACATGATGAATCTATGAATAAGTATTGAGGCTATACGATGGAATCCTAAGTTGATGTGTATGTCGGGTGAGTTCAGGGATACGAGTTTGATTCTGTCATACAACCTCAACATTTATAATTCCTTTGATGTTACCTTCTTGTAACTCATTTTTGTTCTTGCAGCTAGTCTGGTTTTTACCAGTGATTGACAAATTTTCCTGTGGTTGATGTTGCACTTAATGTACCGTTTACACCACAATGTTGTTCCTGAATCCATTGTGCTTTTGTGTGTTTAAATTAATACAGTATAATTAAATAACCCCTCAAGCTGACCCAGAATGTGCTAACCGAGGTCAATTCCTAAAAAGGTTCCACCTAAATTCACAGGAAAATTAAAAATACAAAGTATTTGTTGAAGAAAAAGAAAAGTGCAACAGTTGTGGAGAGTATAGAGACCATCTGTGGAGTAGAGTGGAGAGACCATTTGAATAGATTACCTGCTGGATACCTGCGCCTGATGGGTTTCTGGGAGTTCTTTTACTCCCCAAGCCTGGCCCGTGGCCAGGCTTGACTTGTGAGTTTGGTCCACCAGGCTGTTGCTTGGAATGACCCGCAGGCCCACATATCCACCACAGCCCGGTTGGTCCAGCACTTCTTGAAGATTGGTGGATATTATTACAAAATTCATTGGCAATTGAACCTTGTTTCAGTATGAACAAATTACAGTGTTTAATTAATTTCTGGGTTTGTTCACCTTATTAATATAAATGAATTGATAGAGTAATGTAAGTTATATTTAGATGAAGAGAATGGAGAAATTATGCAGTGCTTTGACGATATGGAAAATGAAGTTGAGACCTTAAGAAAAAAGTGGTACAGGGATGTATAGTGATATTTGTAATGCTGGTATGTAATGAACTTTAAAGTTTACTTATGTGAGAAGAAATATTGTTTATTTGTTTCAGATTTGATCAAATTGCCCGACATTTGACAACAATATTCACATGGCAGGTGCAAGATGCTTTCCTCATGAAAGAGCTCATCACTGTAATATTTGAGCAGGTATGTTTCGGCATGAGGGCAATCATTCCCTGGTCAGCTGTTTATAAGCTCTGCTTTAGTTGAGTAATAATATACATCTTTATTTTGTGACAGTAGTTGGCCAAAACCACAATTATGTAAATAAAGCCTAGTCAAAATACTGTTAAGAACTAAAAGATATGTGTGATATGTGTGACTGCAGTCACCAGTCTCTAGTATTCCTAACATGTCATGCTTGCAAGGTGTCAGGTGTATTTAATTACTCACTGATCCCCCTGCCCCTTTTAATATCCTGTGCATGTCAATGGTGGCAGCAGTGTAAAGGAGTATGTGAAGCTGTGTATGTATAGAAATGCCTGATAGACCAATTGCCTCTACTCGTATACATGGAAAATATTGCATCGACATACGGTATCTAGTAGGTAGTTGTGAATTTGTCTCTTCTCTCTTACTTATCCCCACCCACTAAAATCTATACTAATTATCTATTTGATTTACCTAGAGTTTATCTGAATTTGTTTTGAAAGTTCTACTCCTCAAGCCCAGCCTGAAGCCAGACTTGTCTTGAAATAACTTACTAACTGGAATGCCTTGCGAAACACTTCCCTAGGCGTCAAACCATAAATATAGTGTGAAAATGAACTTTTGAGAGTTAATTTTTCAACTTCTCTCGACAGTGAAAAAAAATGTTTTGATGTTTTGGTCCATCTGGACCGAAACGTCGTCGTCTCTTCAATTTTTAGTGTGTGGTTTGGTTAACTTACTAACCCTTTTTTTTTCTTATTCCAGGATTTTCTTGGTTGTAATTTATTTTTGAATTGATCAACAATACACTTTTGTGTGTAATTACTTAATCAAGTGAACAGCTCCTCAAACAAGAAGATTAACATTTATCAACCCTTAAAAGCTTACGTTATCTTGCGGGTGCAAAATGGGGAAATCTTTTAAGAACAGTATCAATATTTGACAAATAGTGTTTTCCTAACTCAAACAATGTGGGGTTTATTATTCTACAGTTATTCCTAATGTCTCTCAGGTGTTCACATTCACGTAGATAGTGGTCAAGGCGGTGTCCATCACTCTCACCACAGATTCTGCAACTTCGCTGATCAACTGTTGTTTCCATTCCAAATCTCCATGGATATTTGTATCCAAGACGGATTCTCGCTATTACAGATTCTCTCACTCGTCGTCCTCCTCTTCGGCCATACTGATTGGGATTGCCAGCTGCAACCATGTTGTACCATCGTACAGATTCACTGGTTTGTGCTTCTATCCTCCTTTCCTCAGTTACCTTGTCACGGTGATGTTGCCTGATAATACCTCTAATTTGTAGTTGAGTCTTGGGTATGAATTGGTAAGTACTCTCACAGCTCTTTTTTTTCTTATTCCAGGATTTTCTTGGTTGTAAGGCTTTGCAGTTTTTTGAATTGATCAAATCACTGCACTTTTAGTGTGTAAGAAACCTTAACGCCATAACAATGGCAGTTAGCTCTGCTTGCGTTGAAGAGGCATAGTTCTCATACGTGCTTTTTCTTCATTCTGCGTTGGAAGGTATTATCCTTGATTACCGTGTATGCTGCACCAGCCCTGCCATTGATAGGATTCCATTTCATTGATGATGATCTTGCATGAGTCATCCTCCCAGGGAGGTAACCTCTCTACAGGCAGGAGCTCACGGGCTTGCTCAAGCAGGTGAAGCTCTTCAAGGTAGCAGACTGCTCTGTGATGCCATTTTTTGCTTCTCCTGTTTCCCCCTGAAAGTAGCACAGAGCTCAGTTTTTTCTTGGCAATATCATTGTAATGGGGATCTCTGGCTATCCTAATTGCAAGCTTAGCATTCAGCTCCTGAATTCTGCTTTTAATACTGGGAAGGGACAACTCCTCTCGTAGATTAGACGTTTTGGCAGTTCTTGGGACTCCAAGAATGATTGTCATGGCTTCATTTTGAATGCTTTCAAGCCTTTTCATATCGGTTTGGGAGTAGGTGCACAGTGCTGGTGCGGCATAGTCTATGACGGAGCGCACATAGGCTGTGTACATCATTTTGAGCACGGCAATTGAGGCTCCATGTCCATTCCAGGTCATAGCTTTCAGTGCCTTGAGTCGACTTATGCATGTTCCTATGAGTTGATTGAGCTCCTCTTTCTTTCCCTTGTTAGAGCCGACAGTGACGCCAAGGTACCGGTAGTGGTCAACCCATTCAAGTGTTACACCATTAATTTGCAGTTCTTCATTTGCTCTCCGCTTGTGATGGGAGTATGCCTTCGTCTTGTTTGTGGAGAGAGTGAATTTGATGTGAATGTGTGTACACTTGCATGCACAAGTGCACATATATTGCATTATAGTTCAGTATATGGTGAGATGTACTGTAGTGTTTACCTTATAGTATTTTCTTTAATTTTGTATAACATTATGTATAACTAATATGTAACTATATTTGATCTTGTATCAACAGGGTGTGGGTGAGGTGAACTTTAGATATAGCGGTGCTAGATTGTGCCAGCATCTCTCTAAAAATGTTACGCAAGCCTACAATGGGCCGACCTTCAAGAGTGTCTTGCTACAGAGGTCAGTGGATGTTCATGTTTTGAAGATGTTATACTGTACTATCTGTGTTTATTAGCATATTTAAAAATGGTAACTCGACTGAAGAGTATAGATTTACGTTAAATGTAATCCCATAATTATAGCAATATTATGTATGCCTACCTTCATCCTTATATTGAGATTAAGAATAGAGGCAATTATAATAATTCAATTATATTGAATATTGAACAATAATATAATTATATTGCCAGAAGATGGAAGATCTTGTATTTTAATTCAAGTAATTTGGTAAGTCAAGCACATTTACAGTAGAGAGCTCTGGCCTCTGGGCTGCATACTCACTCTTGCTGTTTTAAGTCTCACATCAGACATAAATGACTGAACTACAGACTTGTGAAAGGACATGACAAATAACAACTTTAAGAATTAAATTCATTGAAGACATTGATCATCTTTAAATGCATGTAAGAAGTAAATGTCAACTGGTGGAAATGCTTTACAGTAGTTCATGCCTTGTAATGTAAATAAGGTGTGTAAAATGTTACGCACTACCTACAAACTAGGACACTATATGTAATTATTTCCTCTCAATTTTCCAACAAAAATGTGTGGGCACATACTGTATTTTAAATTAAATTTTGTCGAGTTAAAACAAAAAATACTTTAAGCTCGCTTGTTTGGATCATATGGAGATGACCTCAATATGAATGATATGGAGATTTGAATGACACGAATTTCTTAACAATGCATATAAAAAATAGAGAACAAAATCGTTATTTTTTGTACAAAACTAACTAAATAACTAAAAAACTAACTAACTAACTAAATAGATTGTATTTCCACATTAACATAAATTTGAATTGTTATGGGAGCATCTTTAGAGGAGTATATAAAACTGAATGACAAACAAATTTCTGCTTATCTCCATGGAATTAACAGTTGTCTTGATCACTTAGAGGGCAGATTATACCATTTGTAAAGCCACCTAGACATAAGATAACAAAAAAAGCCTCCAGTCGACAACATTTTGTATGTTACTACTGTGATGACAAAACCACACATCAGAACATTTTCTGATTGGTGGTTTGGTCATCATGTCTTCAGCCACATTGTGACTCATAACCTACTTCAGTGCTCTCTGTACTTTAATGATCAACTTAAATTACATAAAAAGAATTAAAATCAAGCAACAAAGGTTCATCCACCACTTCAGAGAAGACAAATTAGAGTAATGTGTTTTGTGGTAAACTTTTGTATTATAGTGAGTAATCTTTCGGTGGGAGCGTGATAGATTTTCAGTATGCTACCTGTTCCCTGTACTTCATAATAACAATTGCTAAGTTGCATGTCACGGAAGGGCTTAATGTCAACATTAGCCTGGTGCATGAGCTGTGTCTTCAGTGGACCCTGACCCTGGCTGGGATGTAATATTAATTTTTCTCCATTTTTTGTTTATTTTCTTCTCTTTCCCAGGCAAATGCATCTATCCAAGAAAGTTGGAAGCTAGGATGATGATTGTAAAATTAGTTTATCATTAGCCATTTAGTTTTTTAATTGAGCCTTTCTGTTATGCCACAATTTATGAATATCTTTAAACTACTTCTTTCATTTTAGATGCCAGGAAGAATTCAACGTGAAAGATGTTTACTTGCATTCGGAGCCAGCACGAGTGTGTGGTTTTACGCTATTCCTCGCAGAGCTTTTCACGCAGCTAATTTCACCATCTGACCAAACGCTAGATATTCTTCGAGGAGCACTCTGTCAACTTCTCACTACCTTGCTCTCTCAACCAACAGACTCCAATCTTAAATGTGTTGCACAGGTTTTAAAGGTAATTTTAAAATTTTATAGAATATAGTTTAGAATTAGAAACAATAAATTTTTGGTCCAGGGCGAACTGAAATGTTGTCGTCTCCTCATCTGCTGTGTGGTTTAGTCTTCATATCTTCAGCCACATTATTGTGACTCATCGTCTGGAATAAATTAGTATTAGAGGGAGTCCCTGTTATTAGAACACCAAGTATATAAACACTTGTGTATCTGAACAGCCTCTTTAAGTCCCCAATTTTGTCTCAATCCACTAAAATTTGTTTATATATATATATATATATATATATATATATATATATATATATATATATATATATATATATATATATATATAACTGAAAACTCACACCCCAGAAGTGACTCGAACCCATACTCCCAGAAGCAACGCAACTGGTATGTACAAGACGCCTTAATCCACTTGACCATCACGACCGGACAAAATGAGGTGATAGCCGAGGCTATTTGAACCACCCCACCGCCGGCACTCGGATAGTAATCTTGGGCATAGCATTTTACCAAATCACCTCATTCTTTGGGGCACACGTGAGGAACACAAATGCGAACAAGCCTGAATGGTCCCCAGGACAATATGCAACAACATGCATATGAGTATGGGTTCGAGTCACTTCTGGGGTGTGAGTTTTCAGTTGCATATTGTCCTGGGGACCATTCAGGCTTGTTCGCATTTGTGTTCCTCACGTGTGCCCCAAAGAATGAGGTGATTTGGTAAAATGCTATGCCCAAGATTACTATCCGAGTGCCGGCGGTGGGGTGGTTCAAATAGCCTCGGCTATCACCTCATTTTGTCCGGTCGTGATGGTCAAGTGGATTAAGGCGTCTTGTACATACCAGTTGCGTTGCTTCTGGGAGTATGGGTTCGAGTCACTTCTGGGGTGTGAGTTTTCAGTTGCATATTGTCCTGGGGACCATTCAGGCTTGTTCGCATTTGTGTTCCTCACGTGTGCCCCAAAGAATGAGGTGATTTGGTAAAATGCTATGCCCAAGATTACTATCCGAGTGCCGGCGGTGGGGTGGTTCAAATAGCCTCGGCTATCACCTCATTTTGTCCGGTCGTGATGGTCAAGTGGATTAAGGCGTCTTGTACATACCAGTTGCGTTGCTTCTGGGAGTATGGGTTCGAGTCACTTCTGGGGTGTGAGTTTTCAGTTGCATATTGTCCTCGGGACCATTCAGGCTTGTTCGCATTTGTGTTCCTCACGTGTGCCCCAAAGAATGAGGTGATTTGGTAAAATGCTATGCCCAAGATTACTATCCGAGTGCCGGCGGTGGGGTGGTTCAAATAGCCTCGGCTATCACCTCATTTTGTCCGGTCGTGATGGTCAAGTGGATTAAGGCGTCTTGTACATACCAGTTGCGTTGCTTCTGGGAGTATGGGTTCGAGTCACTTCTGGGGTGTGAGTTTTCAGTTGCATATTGTCCTGGGGACCATTCAGGCTTGTTCGCATATATATATATATATATATATATATATATATATATATATATATATATATATATATATATATATATATATATATATATATATATATATATATATATATATATATAAATATACACATATATATAAAATATACACATATAGTTATAGCATTCATTCATTGCACGACTGTATCCCGATATATGCTCTCCCAGTGTTATGGAAACACCACTCTTGATTGGCAATGATCAAAATGCATCCTGTTCATTACAGTGTGCTCTTGTATAAAGAATATTATTCTATATTCTTCTCCTGTCAAAGCAAGTGAGATACCAAAATCTAAGCTAGAATATATACGAAAATCTTTTACTTATTATCTTTGTATGATATCATCAGGTCTGTGCACATGGTGATTATATTGTGTAGTGAGAGATATCACAGAAAGAAGAAAAAGTTAATTGAAAAATTTGGGCTACTTTAAACACAATTAGAGAAACGCTGCCAGTGTCAGTTCCAAGGCTCAAAGAGTCTGGCGACAAATGTGATGTATATTATTGGAGCAAAAGTAAAGGCCTTCCAGAGGGAATGTGATAAGTGGCTACAGGTTTGCTGACTTACACCAATAGCCTATTGGTGTAAGCTAACATGTTGATGTAAGTTGATTATTAGCAACAGGGCTTTAAAATATAGAAAATATTCTTGAAACCAACCTCAGGAAATGTTGACACAAGGTATATCCTCGAGTAATGTGTGTGTTATAAGATCCAATTGAAAATTTCTTTAAATGCACTTTTCTTCCTGAATTATATATCTGATTATATGTAATATTTTAATGGTCCCAAGCATCAGTTTTTTCAACAATAACTCCAATGATCCCTCAAGCATTTGAACTTAGCAGCCTAGTTTTGAATCCTTGAAGGTTCATTGGAGTTATTGTTGAACAAATAAAATTTATATGTAATGTCTTCTGGGACCTTCACAGGCGTCATACGAGCTGTAGAATAATTTTGTTATTTGTGTATCTCTTCCCTTCTTTCTATTAATAGAATTAATATTTTGTATTAATAGAAGAATTACAGGCAGTGAAAACCTCCATGTAAAATCATTTTTTGTTAGGATTTCAGTTCCATGAAAGTGAAATGAACCTATTTTCAGTTCACAGGAAGTATTATAGATGCTAGCAACAGAAATGAAATGGACCAGGTAATGTGCAATGTGAAGGATGTTGCCATGACTGCTCCGGTGAAAGCCTCGACACGTTCTCTTCTGGTGTCTGTCATAGAATTAAGAGCTGCTAATTGGGGTCGTGGGCCACCATCACCAACACAATCACCCGTTGGTACACCTGTACATTCCAATATCCCTGTAAGTTTTGTAGTTGATATTAAGTGAGTAAAATTTCTAACATAAACTTTTAATGAAAAATAGAGTGCATCTTATGGGGAGGTGCATGTTATACATATGAGAATACGGTGATTTAGTCACAGCATTTAAGAAATAACATATGTATATTCCTCTATTTAATTTTATTCTCCATTTCAGATGGGAACAGTCTACTATGGGCCCGGTGGAGTGATTCAGAGAGTAGAGGATGAGCCAGAAGATTCTGCTAGTGACACAGATGATTTTGTTAACTCTGGGTAAGTGTGCAATGCACAGATTCTTCAATGCTATTCAAGTCGCTTCCAATATACGATTAGTCTGGAAAGGAATTTTAAGTATTTTACAAATTATTTGATAAATACAGGTACAATCCAGGAAGTACAGTATCAGTTTGTAAGTATAATTTTCCTGGATAAACATCCAACATATATAGTCCTGTCTAGTTTACAAAAAATCCCACCCCCCTTATCTTTTACTGCCTGGCTTGCCCAAAATCCTACACTGCCCGTCTTCAAAAAGTTTCACCTTCACTATATTTTGCTCTGCGTTTTTGCAAAAAATCCAACCCCCCCACTGTAAAGTCTGCATATAAAAGTTCTCTCTGTTTGGGGAAAAAAAAGTACTTTTATTAACATTTTAGAAAATCCTATGGTAAGAATGTAAAGATGCTTATCTATAAAATGATTCCACAATCTACTCTGTAAATGGGTAGAATTACAGTACTCACCAAAGTGCTTGGCCACCCCAGTGTGGGTGTTTGGCTAGGAATTTTATCCATTTGTAAAGAAATTTAATCAGTAACATTTATATTATTAGTATCGATATACTAATAAAATAAGTATAATATACTCCAGAGCATTGCAGTTAGAGTAGTTCACCCTACAGCAATGATCATTATACTAAAAATGACAAACACAGTATCACTCATCCAATTTATTTTATCATTACTGTACTGTATATTGCATCACAAATAAACAAACACCACTGTTCTTCGCCATTTATTCGCAGCACCATCCCACCCATCACTTCATAAGACAAAGTGTATAGTGCTCCTCGTAAATTGTTATCCACAGTATCAAAAATAAATTCATCCATCTGTACAAACATCTTGCACTCAGCCTTGTTCCTTACCATATTCTGTGTTCTTCACTCAATCCCTGTTTATGTGTATGCCATGTCTTCCTGCCTTCCCGGATTTTCTCTGTTCCTCGTAACTTCAAATTCACTTGAATTTAATCTCTTTACTAGTCTATCATTATCCATTATCTGTATGCTATTACACTTGTAATTATTTCAGATGGTCACCAGCAGTGGAGGAACTGGAAGGAGATGTGGCTGAGGCATTTGAAGAGTTTCTTCGACTGCAGCAATGAGGTTACATGTCTCTGAGAAGGCTAGAGTGTCCAGTGAAAACAGCCTTATCCTATGCCTCGTGAAACTTTATTATCATGGTTGATAATAGTCCATGTTACATGTGAAAATCTTGTATCAAATTTAGGAAATACTTGTAACTCAACTTTAATGTGTATTGGAATCTTGTTACTGTACCTGTAGGTTGTTTAATGCAGTATATCACAAAGCTTTTCCTGTGGTTGAGTCAGTAAGCTTAATACTTGATAACAAAAAACTCAGTTTGAGTTTTTTCAGTGAGGCCTTTTTTTTTCCTGGTAGACCTCAGCTCCTTTCTTTTAGTTTTCGGTAATTATGACATTAGTCTTGACTTGTTAAGTTTGAGGAACGTTTTAGTTGTTGTATTTATCTTTATGATTAATGTGTTTATAATGCCTCTGTTATATTAACATCATAGTTTCACTTTTTGGTGAGTTTATTAAGCACATTTTAGCTGCATTTAGGTTTAAACTTCAGGTTTTTTTAAATTAATGTATCAGATCAAATTTTAGGGCAAATGTGACATCCTTAGACATGAAGTTTTCTCCAGATATGCAAATGGCCACGAAGACAAACTTTCCAAGAAATAATTTGACCACTTCCAGGTATTTCTATTGGAAAATAATATATCATCACTTATTTACTTTATATCAAATTCTGTAGTGTTGTTCTGTAGCCTATATTACCTTCAATAATTTATTATCATCGTGTATATGAACAGTTACACAGAATTTTGGTAAATACTCAAGTAATTTAAATTTGATTCTCATTAACAGTACATAATCATTTATCGGTACTAATAAACTTAAATTTAATGTTACTCCTGCTCATTATCCATAACTATTAAGTGGCAGAATTTGTTGCTCTGTAAATCAATTACTGTAGTTACTGCAAGCCTATTATAGGATTTGTTAGAATTAAAATCTATTAGGAGAGTTTGATAAAGTTTGACGATGGTTCTGTCTACTATTATGAATCTCCGTAGGGGTTAATGGCTTGACTTGTTGCTGTGGACCTTTTATGGGGGCTTTTTAGACTTCTTGTATGCAGCAAGCATCTGGTGAATTTTATCAACAGCTCAGTTTGTTGCTTCTTACCATTATTTTGAATATTAACCCGAGCTCTAATGTATTATGGCTTGCTAGCCTCAACTTCTGGTACAAACATGTCCTGTGGGCTTATGATGGATCATCTTCTTGTAACTAACATTTCATGGTGCAAGAAATATTTTTTTTCCTGTTTAGCAGACTTTCATTTTCCACAATTTTTACACGCATTACCATGGGGTAATATAAATACCATGATACTATTGATAAAATAGTATTACGGTAAAGTAACTTTTGGGCCATGCTATATTTTGTTCTCAAAAAGTCACATTTTGAATAAGAATATTTGACTTTTATTTTAAAAATAATTTCTTTTCTAAACTTTATTTACTTTGGGGATACTGTATACCAGGCATGTCAAACATGCGGCCCTTTGCTAGTACACCTGCGGCCTGCACAAAGAGTACTGTAATTTGGTCATTTAAAGTTTTAAAAACTTCAGATAAGAACCTCGTGACAACACAAATGTGACCCTTATGGTCTCTGAGAACCTTCAGTTTGACATGCCTGCTGTAAACTGTGTGTAGCAGGTACTGTGTATACATAAATAAGTTGTTCTGGTACATAGGGAGTAGATAAAGTGGATAAAGGAAGCATGTTTAAAGTAAGAAAGGTAGGACGGCGAAATATCGATGGTAGCTGGACGTGCAATTGAGACAGAGATGTAAGGTAGTTCTTGTTCCTTGTAAATGTGGTCGGCAAGTGGAATGCATTGAAGGAAGTGGTTGTTGAAGCCAATTCCATCCACAAATTTAAACAGAAATATGATGAAAATATTAATGTTCAGAGAGGTAATCAGTGTACCAGGTATAAATGGCTAGGAGGCAGGGCATAAAGAGCTAGATCCCGCTTCCCTGTAGTCACTGATTGGCAAGTACTGATCTTTATGTAGTGAAGGGGCTCAGGTAATCTGAAGATTGATTCATGGGCCAATTAAAGAGCTGGAAAAATTCATGGGGTCAATTAAAGACAAGACCTTACGTTTAAAAAAGACAATAAAGTAGCTTTCTCAATTGTAAGAAGAATGACAGGCTAGATAACAAGAGCCTATCAAACGAGATGCCAGACCAATGATGGTACTTTTTAAGACGCTCTCTAAGGTGGATTATTGTTGCACACTAACATCCCCATTCAAAGCTGGAGAATGTGCAGATATCTTTTTGCTGCCCGAATCCATTTGAAAAACATCTAAATTTTGGGAACATTTAAAATGTCTAAATCTGTATTCTCTAGAGCACGGGTGAGAGAGAGAATAATTTATACTTGAAAAATATTAAAGGGACTGAAATAACTCATCACAAGACCAGGAGTCATGGTAGGAAGTGCAAAATAGCCCCATTGAAAAGCAGAAGTGCAGTAGGTAGGTATGCTAAGAGTCAATTATATCAACATTAAGGGGACCAAGACTTCAACACTCTTCCTCTATATACTATGGACATAACCATCCAATCTCCCACGGTGTTCAAAGGCAAATTTGATATACATGACCAAAGGATACCTGATCGACTGAGTTGTGATTCATATGTTGGATTGTAAGCAGTGGCATCTTGCAGCCAAGTTAATGGCCATGGGAATATTGATTTTGAGAATTAATTACAGGTGAGTCAGTCAATTATAGATCTGGAATGATTCATGAGTCGGTTAAAGAACTTATAGATTGCAAGATGAAGTAAAAACAAGCTTTTGGAGAGTTATAAATAGACTTGTCTTGGAGTATCTGGCAATCAACTATAAACAGAAAGCAGTACTGTATTAGAATTATTGAGAGCATAAGCAGCATGCCATCATTGAGTGGATTTGTTTGGCATATATATGAAGAAGTAAGTTTAAAGAAGAATGACATGTATAGAGGAGTGTGAAGGGTTTCATACACAAAATGTTGCATGTGTGCACACAGGAAATGGATGTTCTCTATTGTAAAGTAAACTCAAACTTATTATGGGTTCAAGGAAATGCTGGAAGACTAGAACCAGAAATGACCTTTACAAACGGGCAAAGGACTAAAATGGTGCTGGATGAATTATCTGAATATATGAGACACTGTTGGGAATATAAAGTTTCTCAGAGGGGCCAAATGGCTCCATGTAGCTAGCTCGCTCAAGATACCTCCTCATATAAATCACATCTGCCTTAAGAGTCCTTAATGGCCTACCAGAGAACAGAACTATAACCTGTTCCCTTCACAGATGCTCAGAGAGCAGAGGGCATTGTTACAGGGAGTGTTATGATAATCTTAACCAAGGAAACATCCATTAAGTAAGCGAAGTAAAACAAACAAATGCAAAGTTCACAGAAAGAAAGAAAAAAGAAACAAAGCAGCAACCGACTCTGCAAATGATCCACTTAGCAGTTAGGGTGAACCCCCAAGCAGGGAACTCTGGCTTTCCATGTCAACAGAGCTCAGTCCTGTCTCTAGTGCCCTTAAATGTGGGCAGCTCCTTGTGTTGCCAGCTTTAGCAGGTCCCAGATTTTTCCAGGTAAGTGAAGCCATCTTTTGGGCTGTCCTGTAGGGGCTATTCAAGTTTATTGTTTGCTTCACATTTGTGCTTCCATGCTTCACATGTTGTAATGAATTTATTTCATAATTCACCTTGAGCTGCAGGTGCTTAGGGCAGTCTAAACACTCATGGGAATGGAGAGGAGCCCAGGGTGGGTCCCTAGGTGCTCTTCAACCTTTTCTGGTATCTGGTTCTTTCTCTCTGGGTTTTTTCAGCTCGTTTGTGGGATACTAATTTCCCTATGATCCTTCAATGCTTGTGCTTGCTTCCTTGGCTGCTCCTCCCGAGTTCTCATCCATATGATGTTAATGTCCTCAGATGCATCTTGTTTCAAGAGGGTTCTTTCTTCCCACTTTGCACCTCTTTCAGCTCAGTTTGTCCTTCCATTCCTCCTTTGGGTATGGGACTTTGCTTCCCTCATGGCCCCAGCCTTTTTTAGATTTGGGTTCAATTTGGACTTGTGGTTGATTGCAGAACTCCTACTTTTTTTTTATCTTGCAGACAACCCTCTATTTTCTTTGGGGGATTTGGCATGGCTTGTCGTGCTCGGATACTGTACTTATAGAGAGTTTGGTGGGCTCCTCCTGTAAGTTGGGGATGGAGCCTTGGCTTTTTGAAGATTAGGCTGCAGAGGTTTATGGAACCATAGGTGGCTGTCTTGGCTTTCTGAGGCCTGGATGACAGATGTTTACTGTTGTTATTGTTGTTGCTGGATAATGGACAGGGACCACATAGCCGTGTGTGTTTTTTTTTTTTTTGTGTGTGTGTGTGTGTGTGTGTGTGTGTGTGTACATACATACATACATACATACATACATACATACATACATACATACATACATACATACATACATACATACATACATACATACATATACATACATACATATATACATATATATATATATATATATATATATATATATATATATATATATGCGAACAAGCCTGAATGGTCCCCAGGACAATATCCCTGTCCATTATGTGAGTTTTCAGTTGTTATATATATATATATACTGTATATATAATATATTAGTATATTTTGGTAGCAGTCTTTCCTGTAGACATATATTATTAAATATGACCGAAAAAGTAAGATTAATAATTCTGACACGAATTTTCTCAATCTTTCGTACATTTCTTTTCACTGTTGGAGGTAATTCAAAAATCAATTCTCCAAAATTCATTTTTATTTCTAGTCTGACGCGACACTTGAGCGCGTTTCGTAAAACTTATTACATTTTCAAAGACTTTAGTTAACACATACACAACTGAATAGAACTTACACATCTCCGATTTGTTTATATCTACATTTGAGTGAGGTGGATAGGGTGAGGTGGTATTAATAGGGTATTAATTTCATCAACACAAGACAGAACACGAAACAATGGGTATTGAATGGAAGTGATTGTAGAAAGCCTATTGGTCCATATAACAGGTTGTAACAGAACCCATGAGCACCACACCAGAAATAAATACAGTTTTGATATTCCTAGAGTACGACTAAATCAAACCAGAAATGCTCTACAAATCAAGGGGCCCAGAATGTGGAATGACCTTCCCAACCATGTTAAAGACTGTACCTCTCTCAACCAGTTTAAGTTAAAAACGAAGCTATACCTAATAAATTCCATGTAACCCACCTTACCCCCCTGTTGTCAACCCATGTATATTTTTTGTTTTTTTGTTTTTCAAATCAACGCTGTTTGAATGTAATTTTCTGTAATAATTTGTAATTGTATTTGTGCTGCTTTTTCAACAATGTACCCCCCTCTTTTACCTCTATTTTTTATATGTACTCATCACATCTTTTCTTTTTACCCATTAGTTTTAAGCTGTAGTCATTAATGTTTTTCCTGCCCGAAACGCTTTGCGTAATAGTGGCTTTAGGCATTGTATGTACTAGCTCTATCTATAAAGCCAACAAACTTTGTAAATCTCTTTATGTATGTACCTTACCTAAATAAAGATTATTATTATTATTATTATTATATTTCTTGATGCTTCTATATTGGAGCGGAGTCTTGAGGTGGGTGGAATATAGTTGTGCATTAGTTGGCTGTTGATTGCTGGTGTTGACTTTTTAACGTGTAGTGCCTCGCAAACGTCAAGCCGTCTGCTATCGCTGTATCTATCGATGATTTCTGTGTTGTTTACAAGGATTTCTCTGGCGATGGTTTGGTTGTGGGAAGAGATTATATGTTCCTTAATGGAGCCCTGTTGCTTATGCATCGTTAAACGCCTAGAAAGAGATGTTGTTGTCTTGCCTATATACTGGGTTTTTTGGAGCTTACAACCCCCAAGAGGGCATTTGAAGGCATAGACGACGTTGGTCTCTTTTAAAGCGTTCTGCTTTGTGTCTGGAGAGTTTCTCATGAGTAGGCTGGCCGTTTTTCTGGTTTTATAGTAAATCGTCAATTGTATCCTCTGATTTTTGTCTGTAGGGATAACGTTTCTATTAACAATATCTTTCAGGACCCTTTCCTCCGTTTTATGAGCTGTGGAAAAGAAGTTCCTGTAAAATAGTCTAATAGGGGGTATAGGTGTTGTGTTAGTTGTCTCTTCAGAGGTTGCATGGCGTTTCACTTTCCTTCTTGTGATGTCTTCGATGAAACCATTGGAGAAGCCGTTGTTGACTAGGACCTGCCTTATCCTACAGACGAAGAACTCTGTAGGGTAAGGCAGGTCCTAGTCAACAACGGCTTCTCCAATGGTTTCATCGAAGACATCATAAGAAGGAAAGTGAAACGCCATGCAACCTCTGAAGAGACAACTAACACAACACCTATACCCCCTATTAGACTATTTTACAGGAACTTCTTTTCCACAGCTCATAAAATGGAGGAAAGGGTCCTGAAAGATATTGTTAATAGAAACGTTATCCCTACAGACAAAAATCAGAGGCTACAATTGACGATTTACTATAAAACCAGAAAAACGGCCAGCCTACTCATGAGAAACTCTCCAGACACAAAGCAGAACGCTTTAAAAGAGACCAACGTCGTCTAAGCCTTCAAATGCCCTCTTGGGGATTGTAAGCTCCAAAAAACCCAGTATATAGGCAAGACAACAACATCTCTTTCTAGGCGTTTAACGATGCATAAGCAACAGGGCTCCATTAAGGAACATATAATCTCTTCCCACAACCAAACCATCACCAGAGAAATCCTTGTAAACAACACAGAAATCATCGATAGATACAGCGATAGCAGACGGCTTGACGTTTGCGAGGCACTACACATTAAAAAGTCAACACCAGCAATCAACAGCCAACTAATGCACAACTATATTCTACCCACCTCAAGACTCCGCTCCAATATAGAAGCATCAAGAAATATGGACCAATAGTCTTTCTACAATCACTTCCATTCAATACCCATTGTTTCGTGTTCTGTCTTGTGTTGATGAAATTAATACCCTATTAATACCACCTCACCCTATCCACCTCACTCAAATGTAGATATAAACAAATCGGAGATGTGTAAGTTCTATTCAGTTGTGTATGTGTTAACTAAAGTCTTTGAAAAATGTAATAAGTTTTACAAAATGCGCTCAAGTGTCGCGTCAGACTAGAAATAAAAATGAATTTTGGAGAATTGATTTTTGAATTACCTCCAACAGTGAAAAGAAATGTACGAAAGATTGAGAAAATTCGTGTTAGAATTATTAATCTTACTTTTTCGGTCATATTTAATAATATATATATATATATATATATATATATATATATATATATATATATATATATATATATGTCGTACCTAACAGCCAGAACGCACTTCTCAGCCTACTATTCAAGGCCCGATTTGCCTAATAAGCCAAGTTTTCATGAATTACTGTTTTTTCGTCTACCTAACCTACCTAACCTAACCTAACCTAGCTTTTTTTGGCTACCTAACCTAACCTAACCTTTAAATATAGGTTAGGTTAGGTTAGGTAGGGTTGGTTAGGTTCGGTCATATATCTACGTTAATTTTAACTCCAATAAAAAAAAATTGACCTCATACATAGAGAAAAGGGTTGCTTTAACATTTCATAAGAAAAAAATTATAGTAAATATATTAATTCAGGAAAACTTGGCTTATTAGGCAAATCGGGCCTTGAATAGTAGGCTGAGAAGTGAGTTCTGGCTACTAGGTACGACATATATATATATATATGTCGTACCTAGTAGCCAGAACGCACTTCTCAGCCTACTATGCAAGGCCCGATTTGCCTAATAAGCCAAGTTTTCATGAATTAATATATTTTCTCAATTTTTTTTCTGATATGATAAAGCTACCCAATTCATTATGTATCAGGTCAATTTTTTTTTATTGGAGTTAAAATTAACGTAGATATATGACCGAACCTAACGAACCCTACCTAACCTAACCTAACCTATCTCTATAGGTTAGGTTAGGTTAGGTAGCGGGAAAAGTTAGGTTAGGTTAGGTTAGGTAGGTTAGGAGGTAGTCGAAAAACAATTAATTCATGAAAACTTGGCTTATTAGGCAAATTGGGCCTTAGATAGTTGGCTGAGAAGTGCGTTCTGGCTACCAGGTACGACATATATATATATACATATATATATATATAATATATATATACAGGTACAGTATATATACCCTTTCATTCCTGGGTACCCTTTCCTTCCTGGGTACCGGAAAAATCTAAGCTGGAGGCAATATGTCGCCTGTCGGTGAAAAAAAAAAAGTGCTGTGCCTTATGGCTGATTAATGCACTGTACGGCAGGAACTTGGTGACACTGGCATTCCCTGGGGAGGTGAGGGACAGTACCCACCCCACACAGAGAGCCGACTGGATGACTATCAACACCCGGTGACCCCAGACGAGAATGTGTTAGGTGTTCTGTGGGTAACCAAAGTTGAAGTCAAATGGCTAAATCAAGAAAGGCTTCTAATATTTATAACATAAATACGATAGATAAAATTCTGTGATATCTCCAGTGATTTCCAGCAGGGCAGGAGCCAGATGCCAACCATACACTGAAGGTACACTTGGAGTCCACCAAGACCCTCCAACTCCTGGCACCTCTTGGCCAATCTGGTGAAATCTGACCCCCCTTCTGCCTGCTCAAAGAACCAACCAGAAAATGGTAAAAAAAAATATACAGTAGTTCCCTGTGACCAAGCAATATGGGTGCCAAACATAAAAAAGCAGGTTGTTGAAGAGGAATGCTTCCTGCAGGTATGTGTACAACACAGGCTTTACTTCCCACAGGTGTGTGGGTAAAGCACAAACAATACTTCCTACAGGTGTGTGTGTGTGTATACAACACAGGCTGTACATCACACAGCTGTGTATACTGTATATACAACGGTCTGTGTCTTGTGGTTGGTCACCATATTTTATTTAATAGGCATTTTCTAGTCAAAATTACAAGTGTACACCTGTTAAATATTATTTCGTTTGCTTAGTACCATAGCCAGATGTAAGATGTGGCATTCGTAGGAGCCACAATTGACATCTTGGAAAATTGGTAATGGTTGCCTAACTTGTTCATTATCTTAAAAGTTTATGAGTTCTGCCCTGTCGTGTCTTGTTGCAAGACTTAAAAGTGCTTGTCTCTCAACCTATTGTGGCATTTAAGGTGAAAGCACTGTATGTCTAGTGCCAGCATGATGTTCATTATCCTGCCATAAGTTTTTTACAGTGATGCAATGTCTTCCTGTATAAGCTAAGCTCTATAACAGGCCAGGTTGCCTAACAAGCCAAATTTTTCTGAAATAATATATTTTTCACAGCTTTTTCTTATGGAATGATAAAGCTTATCATTATACTATATATGATTTGTTTTTTTAATTCAGTTAAAACTAACAGAAATTTAATCAAAACTAATCTAACATTAGTTAGATTTGGTTTAATCTAACACTAATTTAAGTTAATAATTCATGTTCTTAATATACTAGTATAATAATATTAATTGGAATAAACCAATTTGAAGAGAAATATTTGAAAATTAAAAAAAAAATCACTCGGCTACTTAGTCAAATCAAGCTTTGCATATTAAGCCAAGTAGTGCAGTTAACTATTTATTAATTATTTCACGTTTCAGATGTGGTAACAGCAGGTATGTATATATATATATATATATATATATATAGTATATATGAGATTTTATTTAAATAGACATTGACCATAAACCAAATATTTTTATTTAACTTTGCATATTCATTTTCTGTTATAAAGAGTTTACATTTGTAAGGACGAAATGAATATATATAATCTGTGAAGATGTCTTTATTTTTTAAATGTTTATGACAGTTCTGATTTGAATTCAAAACATGATAATTATCGCAGCTGGCTGACATCAGCAGTAAATAAAAAAAAATAAAAAAAATAATTAGTATTTATGCGTCTGAACTCAATTTCGGTAATATAATCTTGTCTTTTAACACAATATACTTAAGATTTTGAGTTGTTATTGTGCACATTTATACTTAAGACAACTGACTGGTGAGAGGAATTCAGTGTGGAGACAGCCATAAGCCGAGAGATATCAGGCGTCCTCGGCCTATCTTCTCGTTTAGCTCAAGACTGCCTTTGGTGATGGAGATACTTGTTTACTCATTCCATCTACAATTTTAAATCATGGCAGTTACATTAATAACATATCTTAATCTAAATAGCCATTTTGTAGCTGTGAATGACTTAAACAATAAGACAACATGGTGAAGACGTATTTGGAGATATGCATGAAATATCTGAACTACATTGTAGTGCACTTGAGAGGGAGAAATATGTAACTGCATCCCTCTCCCTTGCCGTGTGGTTCCTCTAACACACTACGATGTTCTTACACTGCTAACTACTTCGCGGGGGCAGCGACAGGAGCGGGAGTGGTGCTGGATGCTGCGGCAAGAGCCTGCTTGATGAGATCCTCGTTCTCGGCCTGGGTGTAGTAGGCGATGGTGGCCCCTTCCTTGCAGGTGAATGTGGGGCAGCAGGCAGGGAAGAACAACTCCTGTTTGGGATCGATCGGATTTTCGGTGCAGTCGGGGTTGGGCTTGGCCCTGGCGCACTCCTGCACTACCTCCAAGAGCTGCTCGCCTTCCTGGACGCAGGTGGCGTTGCCGCAGAAGGGCCTCAGAGGCCATGTACCACCTACATTGAACACTTTGCAGATCGTTGACCCGAAGCACATGCCAGGGAAATCTAACGGAAGAAACAATATATTTGTCTTAATAATGTTTTTGTCGTATTACGGTAAGGTTTGTAGAGATAATGGGGCTAAGGAAAGTTTTTTTTTTTTGGGTGTGGTCATAATAGCAGCTTTTTATTTGTACGGCAAACAGGTGCGGATATGGTTATTCTTCTCAAACTAAAATATTGTGATCACTGGCAGTCTGATAATCTAATTATCTAGAATTCAAATATCCACAGTGACGTCAGTGATCATAAGGACGTAGCATAATGGCTCAGTGTTTTCCCTGATAAGTCCTTATGATCACTGACTTCACTGTGGATACTTGAATTCTAGATGATTTAGATTATCAGACTAGCTGTGAAAACATACAGGATGCAACCTCACAAAAGTTGCATAACTCGCGGGTACCTATTTATTGCTAGGTGAACATAGGCACTAGATGAAAGGAAACGTGCTCAACCATTTCTGACCCGCCCGGTTATCGAACCCGGGATCCCTTATTATAAGTTGAAAACATAGCTAACTGTACTAGGAGACAGTATATATTAAATTTATATACTAAAAAGAGTGCACAAACACGGGTATTTGACAATGTGATACTGACCTCTGAGCCGATCAGCTGGAAGCTTCCTAATGTAGGAATTCTCCTGGGCCAGAACGGCCACAGCCAGGAACATACTTGCGATCAATACACACTTCATGACTGAAATGGAAGAGACAAGTACATTAGAAAGAATTGCAAGCAGTAAAATCACGTAGACCTCAGTCATCGTAGATGGTAAGTAATTGAGCAGTGTTGAGGCCAGGCAGAGGATCCTGGCAACGGGAAGCTTTTGTGGTAACATTCGTAGCCTATCCTCCATAATGTATTTTTCTCCTCCCACTTCATATTTTTGTCTTCATCTAGCTTCTCCCTTGTATATCTGTCCATTCTCACTCGCCCACATAGAATTGACTTCAATAACGTCTTCTTTCTTTATATGTATGGTATGAGACTAATGTGTTCTAGAAGTAATTATTACAAGATGGCGCCAAACCGGGAAGACCATTTTTTGAAGTGTATACGGTAATGTTAGTCATGGTCAGGAAGGTTAAATGCTGAGGAAGATAGACCAGCAAAGAATCAGTCTTGGTCACCATCTGGCATGTGAGAATAACCCATTTATTCCCTATTGTCAGTTGCGACATGTCGATCACCGACATCTACCTTCAAGTGAGAATAAGATGTTTCATGGCTCAGATAAAAATAAAATTATCAGTAAAAGGTCTACGTCAGTGTAAAGTGAATCCTTCCGTACCGTTCCTACCTGCAATAGGTACTGGAAAATAGGTTCTGGAATAATCATTACTGTTACACATTTTTGTTACAGTTTCCCTGTCGTTCTGTTCACCACCTAGCAATCAATGTTCATTTATTTTTTTACGGCAAGACGAAACTGATTTATTTAAGAATTATATTACAAATCCAATAAACTTTAAAAGCAAAAAGAAAACAATAGACAATATTTTCCAATTGTTTTCCAGATTTACTGTTGTGTTCTCAAAATTGGGAAAAAGTGGTTTCTCATTCTAATACATTTTTTCCGTGATTGTATTGTACGTTCATGAAGCACATTTCCGGAATACACACAATTTTAAAACCATATTTTAGTTAAGAACGCACGACCTGCGCAGACATGATAGGAATTGTGTTCACCGGAGCTGACTGATAGTTTTAACACAATAAGGGATACGATACAAGAGTTATTAATCTTAATTTTCCCTGGAATACGATCCGCCAATCGTTTAATCGGACGCTAAAGATTAGCGCCCAGTCAATCCTCCCCGGCCAGGATACGAACCCAGGCCAAAGCGCTCGCCATTTGTCACGATGACAATTAAAGTTATAAACTTATCACTCCAGGTGGGGAAAAAATAGAGGGAAAGTGCAATGTGAGGCGGCCATGTAGAAAGTTGCTCAACCAGTGACCGATAACTTTAATGTGTATAGTCACTCATCCCACAAGTGACGGGACTTACCAAAGTGAACCTCTCAACCACCTGCCAGTGAGTAGTGAGGGGGGGGGGGTGGTAGCCCCCACACAGCCTACCTGGCTAATGGAGTCACAGCTAACATAAGCGGAATCACAACTATTAAGCAAAATTATTGCCTAAATGTTTAAGATGCAGGGAATTCTTAATGTCTTGTTAATAAATAACTTGTTTTGAACTGAGAAGCGACACTTACACACACACACATTATATATATATATATATATATATATATATATATATATATATATATATATATATATATATATATATATATATATATATATATATATATATATATATATATATATATATATATGCGGAAAATCCACTGAGAAATATGAAATGAGGTGAACGTTTCGGCTTGTTAAAGCCTTTGTCAACACCTGACTCAGTCAGTCTGGTGTTGACAAAGGCTTTAACAAGCCGAAACGTTCACCTCATTTCATATTTCTCTGTGGATTTTCCGCATAAAATGATCAGTGTTTTGTGATCGTCAATTGCATATATATATATATATATATATATATATATATATATATATATATATATATATATATATATATATATATATATATAATCTCCAATACTATAACCACTCAGCCACAGACTGTTCAAAAGTATTGGAACGTTGTTTGACTTTTAACCCCAGTACTAGACAGCACTCTTGACTATTTTGGACACAGACATTTCATCAAATCACTTCAACATATTAGAGCCACAAGACACAAATGTTGCCCAGCATGTTGAAGTGATTTTATGAAATATGTGCCGACAAGAGTCACAAGCTCTGTCGGGTTTTGGGGTTAAAAGTCACACGACTTTCCAATACTCTTGTATAGAGTGTAGTCAAATGGTTATAGTATTGGACATACCAAGGGGCATGGAGGCCCTGGCTGACCGGGTTCGAATCCTTCAGGGGTATATATATATATATATATATATATATATATATATATATATATATATATATATATATATATATATATATATATGACATCTATAATTGTAATGTATTGCTGACAATGTTGAGAAAATTTGTGAATCGACGCAGTAAATTTTGTATTTCATTTCTCAAATCGATTCTGAATATTTCATTTAAAAGGTGAGAAACGTCTTAGAGCACGTGAACGAGAAATCTATAGATATGCAACTCTTTCAGATGAATTTCAAATACTTGACTGTTAGTGTAAATTATATACTTTTGAAATTGACTTTTTTTGAGACACGTTGTAGATGAACGTATTTTCTAATTATTCACTCTACTTGCGAATTATAAGATAGACTTTAGTGGCAATACTTGTATTTCAAACGCACTGTATATAACTTATAATATATCTTCAGATATATATATATATTTTGCTGCTTGATTTTTAGAGACTGTTAATATGGCAAGCACTGTTTTACCTGTATTTGGTGATACCGTTGATCGAGTGAGGACACCTGATATACCAACTTTTGGTCTAGCAACCCTTTATATAGCGCCAGAATCCATGGCCAGCTCGTCTGCGCATGCGCTACACAACTTCCACCCTCCCCCTCCCCCTTAGTAAGAGGCGGGTTCCCTTCATTATTTAAACTTACATTCATTTTCTCCACACGTTCCTACCAACAAAACTCATATCATTCGCGAGAGTCAGACCTCCACGAAAGAAGATCATTATTTCATATCGAATAAGCGGTATGAAGCTGTATTTTACGATTAAAATGTGGCGACCCATGGCGGTGGAAGGCATCGTGGCCGGCGGTGTTGCAACCCTGAGAAGCCACCGGGACAGTCCACGCCAAACTCGCTCCACTTTGACACAATACCACCACAAAAACTGAGTTCCAAGCTGGTTTCTTTCGGGACAATCAATTAAAGTTAGTGATGCCTGCACTACTCTTAGATATATTACTGATACAAAGGTTTTTATAATGATTCTGTCTAAAATTACTACCCAAGCATACGTAAGATATTTGCAGCACAGTATTAAATGCAAAAATCGCTGGATAACAAAAAACATGTTAACTATATAAGTCTGTTCGCCTACCATGTTCTCAGCAATCGACTTTACGTATGTGGACATAGCGTACATAAATAGTTCATTATAAAGTACCACTTTGAAGACGACATTAGGCTATATAGGCCTTCCACATTATAGATATAACAAATCAGAACAAAAAACTGGTTTATGGGGTGAGGAACGGCCTGGTAGAGTGTATCCAAACTGGGAACAAAGAACTGGCAAGAAGTCGGCTTATAATGTAGGGATGAACACTCCAACGAAGCTGTGTGTACGGGTGTTCCTGCTATAGAGACTTGGAATACGAGCGGATGGAGATGAATAAGTGGACGAGCGGGTGGTGATGAATAAGTGGAAGAGCAGGTGGAGATGAATAAGTGGACGAGCGGGTGGAGATGAATAAGTGGAAGAGCAGGTGGAGATGAATAAGTGGACGAGCGGGTGGAGATGAATAAGTGGACGAGCAGGTGGAGATGAATAAGTGGACGAGCGGGTGGAGATGAATAAGTGGACGAGCAGGTGGAGATGAATAAGTGGACGAGCGGGTGGAGATGAATAAGTGGACGAGCAGGTGGAGATGAATAAGTGGACGAGCGGGTGGAGATGAATAAGTGGACGAGCGGGTGGAGATGAATAAGTGGACGAGCGGGTGGAGATGAATAAGTGGACGAGCGGGTGGAGATGAATAAGTGGACGAGCGGGTGGAGATGAATAAGTGGACGAACGGGTGATGAACACGTAGACGAGTGGGTGGTGATGAATAAGTAGACAAGTGGGAGATGAATACGTAGACGGGTGGGTGGAGATGAGTCGAGAACCACGAAGACAAACAATAGGAGGAGCATACTGAAATAGAAGAATACACTTTAAAGAAACCAGCTGAATATGTAAACAAACTTGAACTGACGGACAATTAATACATAAAGATCGACGCGATTGTCAAGACAGTTCTAAAATAACCGTTAATTAAATTTTAAATAACGATAATGAGGCCCAAAGAAAGTTTGACTTTCTTTGGGCTTCATAATTTTATGATAAATAGTGATTTGCGTTTCGCAGCCTAATGACTAATTTCGTTTTTTTTTCCTAAGGTCACTTGTTTGATGAAATCGAATCCAATATTCTGTATCTGTTGAGCACATTTAAATTATTCTGCTTGACTATTTTATTATTCGAAGACTTGTCGATTCTCTAAGTGAAAGCTGAGTTAACTTCAGCTTAGTGGAAAGTCGACTGTGCTCAAATTCGAAGTTACACCATTTTGTTAATAAAGTAGAAGCAAAGTTGTAATTAATACCATAACTGATCATTCGTTATTGGGTATAATTAACTTTAAATGCCACAGGTAGAATAAGATGGGTATCGATAGGAAGATGTTAGTACATTCTGCTTATAGAATGTAAGTTGGGCTGAAACACCGAAATACAGAATGTAGCTTCCGTAGACTTTTCTGATGTATATTTGTAAACCTAAGGTAGCTGCACAAATGCAGATGTACCTAACATTCAGAGCCGTTGGCATGAGGTACCTCGTACTTTGCAGGTAAAATATAATAAATTTTGATAAAAAAGTGTTTATCCTTTATTATTATTATTATTATTATTATTATTATTATTATTATTATTATTATTATTATTATTGATCCCATGCACTTATGTTAGAACATGGGATCTGTTCAGTTTATCTGTTCAGCTCCCAGATACCCTTGTGACCAGGGTGCTAGAGATGAACACCCTTGTGACCAGTGTGCTAGAGATGAACACCCTTGTGACCAGTGTGCTAGAGATGAATACCCTTGTGACCAGGGTGCTAGAGATGAACACCCTTGTGACCAGGGTGCTAGAGATGAACACCCTTGTAACCAGGGTGCTAGAGATGATCACCCTTGTAACCAGGGTGCTAGAGATGAACACCCTTGTGACCAGGGTGCTAGAGATGAACACCCTTGTGACCAGGGTGCTAGAGATGAACACCCTTGTGACCAGGGTGCTAGAGATGAACACCCTTGTGACCAGGGTGCTAGAGATGAACACCCTTGTGACCAGTGTGCTAGAGATGAACACCCTTGTGACTAGGGTGCTAGAGATTTTGTGTGGATATGTACCTGAGGGCCACCATCTGTAGTGACCTTGAAGGGGGGCAGGAAGCCTGTGGTTTGCGGAAGGTCCCCTCATTATTCCTGAGGATTTTTCCAGCTACATTGTGAAGTGGAGGTCTTTCTAGGATAGGAGATTACTTGGGTCGATTACACTGGTCGACTCTCCAGCCTTGTCATGTTGAGCTTGAAGCTGTTGCTCCTTTTTTTAAGCAGTGTTCGAGCTCGTAAACTGTTTAATTAATGTAAAGAGAGCCGCTACGATGAAAGATGCACAGGTTTCGTAAAGGAATAGGTGAATGTTTGCTGGATCCTGATCCTAGACAAGATCAGACCTATTGGAACTGGTTTGTGGTATAAGATTTAATATTAGAACATAACAATGATAGTCTCTATTTGACCCATACGTGGATGCTCCTCTTTATATCCACCCAAAATATTTGATATAGGCATGTCTATCCTACGCTTGAAACAATCCAGCGGTGCCACGCGTGTTAAATTACCCGGTAATTGGTTCCATAACTGTCATCCTATTTTGGTCCCTGAAATCTTCTCAGTGTTGTTATAGCTGTTGAGTGTAAGGGTCCCAGAAAAGGTTCAAAAGGGGGGGGGGCGGTGAATAGTATATTTATTTTCCTTGAATGGCGAGGTGCAAAAAAGATCACCCTTGGACCAGAGTGCCAGATGGGATCACCCTTGGATCAGAGTGCTGGAGGAAGCAATCCACCCCATCGGCTTTGTTTCTCCTGTCAATATATAATTATGAATTCTACATAAAAAATTAGGCGTTTGTCTGACACCTGTGGACACCCTGGTCTGTGCACCTGTGGAAGCCTGTTGACATCTGCGAATAGGGCACCTGTGGTCTACTCCCTCACTATCTTATCTTATACGTGGCCAAGTTCATCTACTCGACCCATTAAGCTTTGGACGTTTGTAGGTCAGGTCACTGTTGTTCAGGGGGACGCTGGACGTGCTCCTCCCGGACTGTGCCAACGCATAGTGCCTCATCTTGCAGTGCTGGACTTGTCCTCGGACTTTCCTCTCAACTCCTTCCCCTCTTTTGGGGGATCGAGCGGGTAAAATACTGGGCGGTTGTTGAGTGGAACTCATTACCGGGTAACAGGCGTGGGATTGATGGATTGTTTCAGGCTGTTGAAACACTCGCTGCGATTGTTTCAATAGCAGCTGCCTCGTGGGACAATTGACTGTCTACAGTTCCGTTAGTTCTTATGTTCCTTGAGTAACTACGCTTGTCGATCTACCATTGAGTCGTTACGTGATGCGTAGACGTGTACCCTAGTTGACTTGAGACGAGCAGACAGCGGCCATGAGATTGGGGAAGTAATTAGGGTGTCAGGTAAGCAGGGGTGACCTACGGCGAGGGAGAAACCTGCCCTGTTGGCTACCTGGGTGACTTATCTGATTGGGCAGCGGGTAAAAATGGTGAACGTCTTGGTACTGATTGCCCGGTCTTCTTCAGGTTCCTAGCCTGAGTACCTACCTGCCTATCAGAGATTAGTGAGAAGGGAGGGCTCGGCTCTTAATGCCCCGCCTACTAGCCTTTGTTGTCGCGGTATTATATAACAGTTATGACGCTCGAATTCTTTGTGGATTTTAGCTTTAAAATGTGGCTGGAGGTGGCTTTCAGAACTTCTTGATCTAGTGTATTGTTGACAACCCGTACTGTGTACGAGTAACTTAATCTTACATTTCGTCGACTCTTGCGTTTCCGGCTTCTCTTTATGTCCTCTCGTCCTACTTTCTCACACTTTAAAGAGGCTGTCGGTATCCACCTTGTCAGTACCACTTAGTATCTTGTACATTGCGATCATGTCCCCTCTGTCTCTTCTCTCCAGGGAAGAGACAGAGGTTCCCTAATGATATCTCAACTTATCCTCAGAGCTTAACCCACATGGCTCTGGCACTAATCTTGTTGCAAACATTTGTATTTTTTTCAATTTTGATTTTATGCTTAACAAGGTGGGGATTCCAGGCCGGTGCTGCATATTGTAGGTCAAACAAAAGGAGAAATATTCAACACAGGAAGGCCTATCGATCCTGACCTGTCGTGGTGAATAGGGAGCCACGTATGACAATCTAATCCAAACAATCCGTTGGTAGTGTCTCACAGCATTTCCTATTATGTCCAGTATTCGCCCCTTTGTGCTGTCGGGATTGACCTCCCTCTCTCCTCTCCCTTCCCTTCTCTCCCTCCTTCCCTCCTCTCCCTTCCCTTCTCTCCCTCCCTCCCTCCTCTCCCTTCCCTGCCTCCCTCTCCCTTCCCCAGGGACGTCACTCATGTCTCCCAGGCCCCTGGAGGCGCGTGTTACCATGGAGGCGCCCTGACCTCCACCACCCCAGCCTCCAGTCAGCGGGCTCCACTCACTCGGT